GAATCCAATGAAACAACTTAAAATATTTAAAAACAAGCATAACACCTAAAATTTGAACATTTACCACAATTTTAACTGGGGCGAATCCGATCACAAAAATGCCTATGTAGCTCGATTTTTTTTTTTTTTTTTTTTTTTTTTAAAGAAGTTGTTCTGAATAGTTAAGCTATAGTTACTACAAAGAATTGGAGAGTGGTCTTTTCTAAAACAGAAATAAAAATATGGTCAAATCTACTTAAATTTATTGCTTAAAAAACAGGTATTTTGATAAATTAAACTATACAAAAAGATGTGATAATTTGACAGTTCTGAAGCTGAAACAGTTTTGGCTATATCGAAATGTTCTTTTAGATGTTGTTGAATTGCTCTTTCTATTTTTTTAGTAGTTTTATGGTTTAGAAATGTTTATAAGGTTGTAAAATTAAAGTTAGAATGCTTACTAATTAAGTTTAAATTTCTAGTCCTAAACAACCTTGACCCCATGAACACATTGAATGAATCATAGATTTTTCTTGCATCTTTTTCAGAAATAATAATAGTATATTGATAAAATGGAATCTTGTGGGTTTGGAAAAGTTTTAAAAGATGAATGTCACAAAATATGTTTTGTTCGAAAACAAGGATTAAAAGATTTTTGTAATCTAGAAAAAGGCTTTCAAGATACTTATATTTGGAGGTCTGGTTTGCTTGAGACTACATCATACGAAGAGATAAAGTCTATTTGTTATCATCATGAGCAGGTTTTTGGACCGATATTTCTCTAAAGAATGATAAGTGTTGCGATGTTTTAAAAAGACACAAAAAAAAGGTTAAAGGTAATATATATATTTTTTGATAATTCACCTCCTCAAGGCCGAGAAGGCCACTACAGACGAGGAGGCTACTTATTTATGGTTATAACCCTCTCTTGACTCTATAACTCCGAAACACGAACCTTGACAAATAAGGTAGCTGTACGGAGAAACAAGTTGAGTGCGGTACTACCAGGGACGTGGTGGGGATCGAACTCGGAACCTCTCGCTTATGAACCGAGCGGTCTTCCACTACACAACTACCGCATATATATATATAATTATTTATTATATATTAACTTGTATATATATTATATAAATTAATATATTATAATATATATATATATATATATATATATATATATATATATATATATATATATATATATATATATATATATATATATATATATATTATATAAATTAATATATTATAATATATATATATATATATATATATATATATATATATATATATATATATATATATATATATATAAATAAATTTAGAAGCAGGGTATGTTTATTTAAAATTAATGATTTTATTTTAGGTCAAACAACCATATCTCTTGAAATGGCTCATAACCTTAAATCCAAAAATCTAGACTGTAAACCAGGATGGAAATTTTGTCGCTCATGTATTCAGTTTTTGTCAAATCGTGATGAAGTTTCTGATAATGAAATGGATAGTGAAATTGATGGCGATGTATTATTTGTTAAAGATAAATCTTGTAATAAACAACAGTTAGACAACTCTTTAATATCAATTGGAGTCTCACCAATTAAAGTTCATGGTGTCGCGAAGCATCAACGAGTTGTAACAGCAAAAAGAAAATTAGTCAAAGCCTACACAAAAATGGAAGAAGGTGTAGCAAGTGCTTATGGAGTAGATATAAATAACTTAAGTGTAGCCTCAACTTTTTCCAGTCAATCTATGGATAAAAAAAAAAGCAAATGATCTTGATCATTTGACAACTTTAATGAAAGAAAAACTTAAAGTTGAACCATTTAAAAAAGTTCAAATATTAACACTTACACCTGAATCTTGGTCTAGAAAATACGCTTCAGAATATTTTGAAGTTTCTGAACATCTTATACGACGTGCTAGGAAACTTAAAAGTGAAAATGGAATTCTTGCTATACCTGATAAGAAAATAGGCCAAAAAATACCTGACTTTCTTACAGCTTTGGTTCAAGATTTTTTTCAACAAGATGAACATTCTAGAATTATGCCTGGTAAAAAAGATTGTGTTAAAGTTAAAAGTGGTCCTCCACAACAAAAAAGATTATTATTGTGCAACCTTCATGAGCTTTATATTGATTTTAAAAGTAAATACCCTAATTATAAAATAGGATTTTAAAAGTTTTGTAGTTTGTGTCCAAAATGGTGTATTAGTGTGGGACCAAATGGTACACACTGTGTATGTGTTTGTATTTACCATCAAAACTCAATATTGCTTGTAAATGCTGTCCAATGGAATGTTACATACAAAGATTTAATGTCAAAATTAGTATGTGATACAAGCAATAATGAATGCATGGTTCATAGATGTGCCAAATGTCCAGGTTATGATAACTTAAAGGCATTTTTAGATGAGGAATTAATTGAGATTGATGAAGAAGAAGAAATTCAATTCAACCAATGGCAAAGTACTGATAGATCACAATTAATTACTCAATCAGTTAACTTATTTGAATATAAAGAGCTAGTTGTTTCTCACATTAATCATCTAACTTCACATTCATATATTGCTAAATGCCAAACTCGCTATTTAAAAGAATTAAAAAATAATTTAGGTTACAATGAATGTATTATACAGGCAGATTTTGCAGAGAACTATCAATTTGTTATACAGGATGAAATACAAAGTTATCATTGGAATAAACAACAATGTACACTTCATCCTGTAGTTATATATTTTAAGGAATTTTCTAAAACAAATATTCAGCATAAGTCATTCTGTTTTTTAAGTGATGACAATGATCATGATACATGCTTTGTGTATGAATTTCAAAAGAAAATTGTAGAGTACATTAAGGAATATTTAGTTGGTATCAATAAAATTTATTATTTTTCTGATGGATGTTCTGCTCATTATAAAAACTATAAAAACTTTATAAATCTATGCCACCATAAGGAAGATTTTGAGATTACAGCTGAATGGGTATTTTTTGCAACCAGCCATGGAAAATCCACTTGTGATGGCATAGGTGGTATCGTTAAAAGAATAACAGCAAGAGCAAGTTTGCAAAGGGCATTGGAAAACCAAATATTAACAGTTGATGATATGCTTGAATTTTGCATCACCAATATAAACACAATCATATTTTATAAAATTTCCAAAGAAACAGTTAATGCAAGGAGACAGCAACTAAAGGAGCGATTTGAAACAGGAAAAACTGTTCCAGGTACCAGAAGTTATCATCATTACATACCTATTTCAAAATTTGAAACTAGTTTTAAAAGAACCAGCGAACATCAATGTGTTGACAGATTTATACTGTCAAAAGCAGTAATGTCTGATGTTGTTATTGTACCAAATCTAAATGATTTTGTTGCATGCAAGTACGATTCCTTTTGGAGGATAGGCATGGTTACAGAGATAGATATTATTCTAAATGATATTCAAATTAAGTTTATGCACCCTCACGGCCCTTCTCAAAACTTTATTTGGCCACAGAGAGATGATATCTGTTGGGTACCATTGTCGAGTTTGATTGCAGTAATCAAAGTCCCAACAACAAAATCAGGGCGAACATATAACATTGATGTGAATGATTATAACACAATAACTGATAAATTTTAATTTTTTTGAGTTTTTAATTTTTAAATTTTGTATATTACTTTTGTTTCTTGAACTTCTTTCCGAGTGCTCTATTTGTTTTGGAGTCTTTGTTTTTTAAGTTTATTAAATGAAGTTTGATAAATATGAAACTAATGTTTTATAAGTAATAAATTTAAGTATATTTGAAGATGTTTTTATTTCTGATTTAAGACCACAATTTGATTCTTTGTAATAACTCCAACTAAACTATTTAATACAACTTCTGAAAAAAAAACTAAATTTGCAATATACATCTGCATTTATATAATTCTCCCCTTTGAAACTAAACTTTTTCAAGATCAGATTCTAAAAAATTACAAAGAAAACAGAAACAGCTAGTCAACAACAACTAAAAGAACAGTTTGATGTAGCCTAAACTGTTTCAGTTGCAAAACTATCAAATTACCACATTTTTTTTCTTGTTTAATTTGTCATAATACCTGTTTTTAAGCAATAAATTTAAGTAGATTTGACCATATTTTTATTTCTGTTTTAGAAAAGACCACTCTCCAATTCTTAGTAGTAACTATAGCTTAACTATTCAGAACAACTTCTTTAAAAAAAAAAAAAAAAAAAAATGGAGCTACATCAGCATTTTGTGATCGGACTCGCCCCAGTTAAAATGGTGGTAAACGTTCAAATTTTAGGTGTTATGCTTGTTTTTAAATATTTTAAGTTGTTTCATTGGATTCCTTGGCCCAAAATATGTAAAGGTACAAATTTTCAGCTTTCCAACACACATATAACAGAAACTAGGACCAAAGCAATTTTTAAAAATGGCGGATTTTCGTTGGTTGGAGGCAAACTTAAAATAGCTGTATCTTAGGAACCGATTGAAATTAGACGATAAAATTTTTAGGATGTTCATAATTTACTAAAATCTTTAAGTGGTTTAAAAATCAGCAAAATCTGAGACTTATGGTTGCATTTTCAAAAAAAATTGGATGTTTTCACATGGAATCTCCCAACTATTACTTAGTCTTCTGGCTATTATTAGCTTTGATTTCTTGATTGACAAACTTTTAAGATCTTATTTTAAGTCTCAGAAATATAAATTAACTGAAATCCTGGAAAAACTTTTAATCGGCTAATTAGCAGATGGAGAATAAATGTAGAGGATAAATACGGGGATATGGAAAAGAGTGGAAGTAACAAAATATTACTAAATAATCAAGGTTCTTCTTTATAATAACTTTATTAAGTTTACTATATTCTGAATAGAATTAGCAATATTTATTTATTTTTATTCCCAAGATATTTTTAATTATTTTTGGTTCCATCATTATATTAACTAAATAAATATATTTATCACGTTTACATTACATTAGCACATATCTTTAACAATTTTATTAATTTCAAATAATTATAAAACAATAATACATACTATAGGGATACACTCAGTTGGCGATTTTTCAACTCTATCAGCCAAATGCTCATCATAACTACGTAAATCGTCTAAGCTCACATCCAAATAATATTGTCCTAAACTGTAATTTTTTTTTAGCTGGTCCCTAAAAGAAAAAAAAAATCTTGTGAATATATTATATCTACTTTAGCATGAAAAAAAAGTTTATTAGTTTAAAAAAATTAACATTTTTTTAAACTAATAAACATTTCAAATTTCATTAATCTCATAACAGGATTAATGAAAACAAATGCATATATACTAACTGCCAAATAAGTGTAAGCCCAATTAAATGTACATACATTGAGTACTTATAGGGATAAAAGTTATTATGTATCTACATACATCAACTAACATAATGTTAGGCATAAACAAAAGTACATGGTTAGGGTCAGAGATCAATCAGGAACTAATAGGTTTTAGTATGGCCAGGGTTTTAAATAGTTTTTTAGTGTCATTAAAAACCACTTTATTTTAAATTTTCCTTTGAAAAATAAAAAAAATACTTGCATTTTTAGTGTAAATTGTTTTAGTTTTAAAAGCAAATTAGAGTAACTTTTTAAATTTTTAGACCTTTGTTTTTATATGAATCTGAATCAACAAAATATATCATATCATAATCATAAAAATCAATTTAACTGATTTCTAATGAAAGTAATCATATTTAGCTGCAACTTATTTGAGCATTAAAACTTAATAACGATTGAATAGAAATAAAGTGGCTTATCGCCAACCTAAAAGAAGAGAGAAAACATAAATAAGATTGTTTGTTATGAAAATTTAAATTAAAAATAAAACAAAAAGCACAAAAAGAACTAATTAGAAAAGTTAAGAACAGAAAAAAGATGCTAGAATGTAGTACACAAAAAAAATACTACAAGTCAAAAAACATACACAAATATCAAAAAAAAAAAAAAACTAAAAAAAATTAGTTATTTTTATTAATTAATTTATATGGGTTTATATTATAAACCCTACATATGATGAGGTATACCTGTACGGAAAGACAAAGTTTACTTCGTGAAACTCTTTAATAAAGTCTTTAAACTTTTTTCTTGTATCATTTACATTGGAGCTGAAATTCGAATTCGCATTATCTTCAGATCCAAAGGGATCTGAAAAAAAAACTTCGGATTGATCAAATCCAGTAGCAGCCATTGTATTCTACAATTGTGGCGCGAAACTAAAACGGACCGTAATGTTTACCTCAACCTCGCTAACTCGTGCCTCGCTACAAAGATGCGCACGCTTTTTTAATTTTTTAACTTTTTTATTGACCCAATTTTAAATTTTACTTTTAATTTTTATTTTAACTCTTTTAAATTTTTAAAGCTGGATTTTAGATAATTCAATAAATTGATATATCACTTAATTGAATTATCTGAAAGAAAAAAAGGATATATCCTTTTTTCAATAAATGTCAGCCATTTACAACAATTAGATTTCTTCACAAGTTTCACCATCAAAAAAAAAAAAATTTAATTTAAGGTATGAATTTTTCTGGTCAGTTTGACATTATTGATACTGAAAAAACCATAAAATTTAGACATCAGTGTCTAAACTAGTCTTACTTGGCATTAGAAAATGTGTTTGATTTTAAAGTTTCCTAGCAACGGCTTTAGTAACCAGAATGGTCCCTGATTTTTGCTTATGGAAAACCATAATTAGGAAAAAAAAACTTATTTATTATATTAGGCAGCAGCCGTATTCACATCCCTCCGTTAAACCTTGCGATATGCTATCGACTGGTTAAAAGTAAAACGGCAGTTTTTAAAGCCAGCGATAAAATAAACTCGTATTCTTATGTCTCCGGCTATTTAACAACTTAAAATAAACTCGTATTCTTATGTCTCCGGCTATTTAACAACGGCTATTTAAAAAAATTAGTTACCGGATGGCTGTAAACTCCAAAATCTAATCTTCTATTAAAACTGCCATCAGAGGAATTTTCTATTAAATTAGGAAAAATAAAAAATGGTATCCAATCAAAGCAAGCGTAAACAAATACTTTTTTTTTTAATAACAAATAAGCAGTAATTTATATTAAATCAAACTTATATGGTTTATTCTTAAATAAATGTTATTATAAAAGAAATGTTTTTTGCATTTGATTACAATGCACACACTATTACGAACATATATGTTAAATTCATGCGTATAACTTTTATACCTCCTATACTAACATGGTCTATTCACAAGTCTGTACCCCACTCAAATATTTCTAAAAGGTGCCCGCTATGTCTGTATGAGAAATTTGATATTATATCATATCAAAACCTGAGGAATTACTAAATAAAAGAACCGAAATTATATCAAAGTACTGCCACGAAAATAAATTCTTATTAAAAAATTACAAAGCTCGCTACAAACCTAAGTAACAACTAAAAGTAACTATATTAATCTACTCCATATATCTCTAGACTAACTAATAAATTAATCACATACACGTTGTAAAATATTTCAAAATATTATATATATTTTTATGTCAATTTTAATTTTTTATTACATAAATAATGCACGTTATCACATGAACAATTATTTTAAACAACATTAAACATATCTATTTCACAACTATTAGTTAACTATAAATAAATTGATAATATTATTAACCTAACTACTAATCAATTTCCGTCCCGTAACAATCCATAATACAAATATAAACCGTAACGTCCACTAAACAAATCGTAGCAAAATTTAGTGTTGTGACCAAAACTAAAAATTATGACTAAACTAAAAAAACCGTAGCTAAAATTACTCGACTAACTTTCTAGCTAACGAAAATTAGTCGACTAATTTTTTAGTTAACTAAAATTACCCGACTAACTTTTTATTCTTACTTAAATTAGACTAACTTTTTAGCTAAATAAAATTATCCGACTAACTTTTTAGTCAACTAAAATTACCTGACTAACTTTTTAGTCTAACTAAAGTAAGCCGACTAACTTTTTAGTTAACTAAAATTAACCGACTAAGTTTTTTGTTAACTAATTATACCCGACTTTGTTTTTAGTCCAACTAAAGAAATTTATAAATATATAATATAAATAATTTGGGTTCATGATATCATTTCTATTAGAATTTTTGAATAAGATTGCGAATGCGTAATCATTTTACCGCATAATACTGCAAAAGTAAAAAAATATTGAATTTTTTAATTTAGTTAAAATTCATTAAATTTAATACTGAAGTTTTTTCTTATAATAAATACATTACATTTTTCTTAAATAAATATTATTAAATTTAGTATTCGAACTCTTTAATATATTTTATAAGCTATTCAACAACTTATATTGCGGAAATTGCATTTTAAAATGCAAATACCAATCTTCCTTTTAAATTTTGCAAGTATCGCCATCCGACGAACAACTATACTCTGAAAGCAATAAATATATTCATAAAAACTTATTTAACGATTACCTTTTGGGTTTATGTCAATAATTTCGTCTGCCTAACTGCAGTGTTTGCGGGTTATTATAGTCGTTAGGAGAGGTTGATATTTAAAGGGGTGGGGAGGGGGAGTCGTAGATTTGTTGTGAAGATTAGATATTGAATCCATTCCTATAATATGGGAGGGGACAGGGCTGTACTGAACAACAAAGACGTAGGGGGGAGGAGGGACAAATGAAAAAAGCTTTTTTACCATAAAAATCTCACCAAAGTAGGGCTTTTTTTTTATTTAAAAGCCAAATTTCAGTTTTAACCAACCGAGTCTCAATTTTTCCCAATTACTAACAAAACCGACAGAATGTTGTAACCTGGGAAGGTGCCCATACTCACGTCAGTTCGGCCTTAGCAGGGAAGAGTATTTTTGATGTGCAATTATTATTGCACACTACCTATAGGACTATGATAACTTATATATTAATATAAGTTAAACGTTCAATAAGCGTACCAAATTTGATTCAATTGACTAAAGGGCATTATTTGTATATTCCATGCTGATTGGGTGTTTAAAAACAGTTGCAACAACATCATAGGCAGTTGTCTCCGAGCTGGGAAAAAAAAATAATCGAATTTTGCTTAAAATATTTTTTTTGAATAACATTTTAGTTCGATTGGGCATTAGGATTCACAATTATTAAAGTGTTTAATTACGATAAAATTATCGCCTTAATAAAGCTTAATAATTATCGCCTTAATAAAGCTTCCTTGTGCGTAAAATTTTTATGCGAAAGGTTATTTCTTTTTTCAAGCACTAAATCTTGTTTTAGTCGACTAAATTTAGTTACACTAAATATTTAGTCGACTAATTTGAGTTGACTAAAAAGTTAGTCGACTAATTTTAATTAGACTAAAAGGTTAGTCGGGTAATTTTAGTTAGCTAGAAAGTTAGTCGAGTAATTTTAGTTAACTAAAAGGTTAGTCGACTAGTTTTAGTTAACTAAAAAGTTAGTCGACTAATTTTAGTTAGACTAAAAATTTAGTTAAGTATTTTTAGTTAGACTAAAACTAACCTTAACTCCCACCCCTAGTTTTTAGCTGGAAATGTTATACTCAAGGTTATATAGGTTATACTCAATAGCGAACTTGCATTTTTAATGAAAGGATTAATGCTAAAGCTGCTACTGCTAGTTTACCATCAACATGTTTTAAGGGAAACGACTCCTGTGAGTTTAGCATCAATATCATTTATTGTTTCACCTAAAATAATACGACCTCACCCCAAAGTTAAATTAAGAACAACAGCTAAAACCGAAACCCTTAGTCGATGTGTATGTACAAACCCTGCATGTTCTACCTATTTAGTCAGTCGATGTATGTACACTCCCTTCATGTTTTACCTAAGTAAATCAGTCGATGTATGCACATTTCCCGCATGCTCTATCTGTTTAGTCAGTTCATGTATGTACACTCTCTGCCTGTTCCAATTCAGTCTATGTATGCTCACTTCCGAATTTTTATAAAAAATAAAACTTTATATAGAATATAACTTTTTATTAACAACAATCATAGACATTACGCATGAAACTAGAACTAAATACTTTAAAATATAAAATAAAAGTGCACATAAGAACGTTTGCGCTCAAGAAGAATCGATCCCCCATCGCCAGACAACAAGGCAAAATTATAAGCTTCTAGACTACGCAGGACTTAAAACAACAAAAAAATGGCATTAAACCCATTTAATAGCATTTCTACATTAGGAATATAAAGAGATTACTGCGGTCTCCTGCGGTCTCCTGCGATATTGGAAATTATTAAAGAAAAACAAATGTTGATGATTTCATAAAAACCTTGTTTTCCTCCATTTTGCTTAGTACTTTATTATATCAAATTAAATGAAATTAACGGGAAACTTAAATTTAAGTTTTTTGCTTGTAAAACTTGTTTTAATATAGTTTTTAAATATTCAATATAGTTTAAAATTTTTTTGTGTCATTATATACTATTTAGAAGTTTGTTAAAATATTTATTGACAATTTTAAAGAACGATTTATAATTCGATAAGTACAACATGTTTGGAAAAGCTTAACTGAACAACTTTGGTATTTCCTGTAATATAAAATTAACTAAGTAATATAGTGTTATTACATGGTGTAACAATGTAAAAATTGTTAAAAGTCATAACAAAATAAAATTTGAAACAGTGCAAAGTAAAAAAATATGTAACTTAAAATGTTTCTGATATATTAGTTTTATTACATTGATGGTTCTTTAAAACGATAACAATGAAAAGATTAGATCTTATCCTAAATATATGTGAATTAGGAGTGGAAAAATTAAATTTATACAAGTATATACTAAATGAAATAAAAAATAGTGAAGAATTTTACATAAAAGACTTAAATAAAGAAAAGTTTGCTTTAGTTATATTTATTTCAAAGGTGATGGAAAAACTAAAACAATGTGGACGAAACTATGATACATTTATACAAAAAGAAAATCGTTGGCTTCAAAGAAATCTTATGAACAATAAAAATAGCTATTTTGGTTCTGGAAGGCTCCATAAACAATGGAGTGTTCTTGGAGAGCGAACCAAAAGGAAAAAAAATTAAAGAACTAGCCACTGAACATCATGAAGTTCTATTTTTAGCTTCTGCAAAAAGTGAAAATGCTGTTGCAGATAAAAAAAGAGCCTCTATTTTAAAAAACAAAATAACTAATGTTTTAGAGAAAAAGTTGATGAAACTTTGGATAAAACCTTTCCCATTAACATGAGTGTAGAGGATGCTCTTGCATTAAAAATGAATACTGATCTCAGGGATAAACAATATCAAATGATCAG